CTCTGTAAAAAATCAATAAAATATATTTATACAAAAAATAAAAGAAAGAAAGAAATACACATGCCAGTCAGAGGAAAGCGGTCAGCATTGGGACCTCAATGGTGGCTGTCTCTGTAGGCCTGGGTTGATGACAGGACCAGGTGCTATAGAACTGGGCTCCATAGTGTCAGTGAAGGTCATAAGATTACAGAATAGTAAAAAAAAATAAAAATAAAAAGGTATTAGTACTTAACTATTAGAAACAAAGTGGTATAACTACTGTAATGGGCAATAAGGCTAGAATGACGAACTCTGGGCCCTGACCTAAATATATCTGAGGCCATGTATAATAGATTTTGGTTCTCCTAGGGATGATATAGGAGGGGCAGACAATGAGGACATTTATTGCATTATACAACAAAAAAAGATCAAAAGCTGGTGATCAACATACTGATGCCAACTTTTGCAGTGGGCATCTCTTGTCCAGTTTTCAAATCCTGAGTCAGATCAATCAATGAGCCATTTCCGATTGAAGGAAAAACCAGGTACCTTTCAGGAAGCACCCTGCAATGTCACCAAAAATATATGCAATAAATAACCCTTACCTTGTTTCCCCACTGGGTCTCGTTTCCCAAAGGTACTTGTTCCCCCAATGGATATACATGTACCAGAGTAACCACACAACGGGAGAAGGGGGAATACTCAGATCTTTTGAAGACTATCGGATGCAAGGTCTGACCTGACAGAGACACCACAAAATACCCCATGAAGGAGACCATGTTAATAAAGAAAATCCTGATCCCAGGGCATCTCCCAATGGGTCTGTGAACCCACTCTGTGGTAACTTCCCTGGCTCCCGAGTAAATAAATTCAGAAGATGACAGGGTCCTCATAATGGTCTTTGATCTATGAAGTAAGAGATATGATAGCAAAGACCAAGTGAGAAACCCTAAATATTTCCTTCATACCCACCTATCTCCATAGCAAAACAGAAACACTAACATATCATGAATGAAACAGCAGAGATTAATGCCACCACTTAATGGTTGCAGGTGGTGATCCACATCCTATTCCCATTTAATTCAATAGTATTTTTACAGCAAAGAATCACATGGGTCTTTGTGAGTGATAGTGAATTATCATCAATTTACACAAGTAGAAGCTCCAGTCATGTGCACTGTGCTGGATATAGTAACTTCACTAGAAGAGACCATCAAGAAAACCTAACAATCCCAAAATATCAGACATATGTTCTAGCAATATCTTTACTGACACAGCTCCTAGGACAATGGAAACTAAGGAGAAAATAAACAAATGGGACTACATCAAAATAAAAAGCTTCTGCATCGCAAAAGAAACCATCAACAAAACAACGAAGAAAGCCCACTTCATGGGAGAACATATTTGCCAATGTTATCAGTATATCCAATAATAGTATAATCTCCAAAATTTATAGGCAACTCATACATTTTAACAAAAGAAGATAAACAATCCAATAAAAAAATGGGCAAAGGCCCTAACCGGTTTGGCTCAGTGGATAGAGCATTGGCCTGCGGACTGAAGGGTCCCAGGTTCAATTCTGGTCAAGGGCATGTACCTTGGTTGCGGGCACATCCCCAGTAGGAAGTGTGCAGGAGGCAGCTGATGGATGTTTCTCTCTTATCGATGTTTCTGGCTCTCTATCCCTCTCCCTTTCTCTCTGTAAAAAAATCAATAAAATACATATTTTTTTAAAAAAGGGCAAAGGACCTAAATAGACACTTTTCAAAAGTGGACATACAGAAGGCCAAGAGACATATGAAAACATGCTCAAAGTCACTAATCATCTGAGAGATGCAAATCAAAATGACAATGAGGTACCATCTCACGCCTGTCAGAATGGCTATCAACAAATCAACAAACGGCAAGTGCTGGAGAGGTTGTGGAGAAAAAGGAGCTTTTGCACTGCTGGTGGGAATGCAGACTGGTGCAGCCACTGTGGAGAACAGTATGGAGTTTTCTAAAAAAATTAAAAATGGAACGCCCATTTGACCCAGGAATCCCACTTCTAGGAATATAGCCCAAGGAATCAGAAACACCAATCAGAAAGGATATATGCACCCCTATGCTCATAGCAGCACAATTCACCATAGCTAAGATTTGGAAACAGCCTAAGTGCCCATTAGCAGATGAGTGGATTAAAAAACTGGTACATCTACACAATGGAATACTATGCTGCTTTAAAAAAGAAGGAATTCTTACCATTCGCAACAGCATGGATGGACCTGGAGAGCATATTATGCTAAGCGAAATAAGCTAGTCAGAGAAAGATAAAAATCACATGATCTCACATTTGTGGAATATAATGAACAACATAAACTGATGAACAAAAATAGATCCAGAGACAGAGAAGCATCTAAGACCGTCAAACCTCAGAGGGAAGGCAGGGGAGGAGGTGGGGATAAGGGGGAGAGATCAACCAAAGGACTTGTATGTATGCATATAAGCCTAACCAATGGACACAGACACTAGGGGGGTAAGGGCATGTGCTGGGGGGTGAGAGTGGCTGGGGGGAGGGAATGGGGGGAAAAGGAGACATATGTAATACTCTAAACAATAAAGAATTTTTTTAAAAAGAAAGAAAACCTAATAATCCTAACTGTATAGGAACACAGGCAGATAGAAAATTGATCAAGAACAACATTAAGAAATTGTCAGTATCAGGAAGGAAGGAATAAGGAGACATAGAGTTCACATAAATATAAAAAGGAAAAATAAAAGATATTATGAACACTTTATACTAATAAATTTGAGAAAAATAAGGGGGGAAATGCCTTGAAAAACATCATTCACCAAAATTGACACAAGATTTTAAAAATGAAATAGTTCTACCTCTGTTAAAGGGATTGAATCTGAAATCATAGATTCACATAGGATTTCAACAGTTAACTTTTTCAAATATTTTTGAGAAAACAAAAGTACTGGATTGTCAGGAATCAGAGGTCTTACCCTCATTAAACCTTATTTATAATTTCAAGGAAATGATCATATGGAATGGGTAGAGTCAGTGAGGTCCAGAACCACCAGCACCTACATTTCATGTATAACTGGGGTATGAAGGTCCTGCCAATGCAGCCCAAAGCAAGAAAAATCTGACAGGAAACATTTGGTCCCTAGTGCGCATCCAGGTTGGCCAAGGCTTGTTCAGGCCTACAGAATAATTCGGTTTCTCTGTCTGCAAAACTGGTTTCATCCACAACGCTTTCCTTTCCAGGTGTTCATCCCTCATAAATGTCTTGCATTCTAAACTCCAATGTGGGGTCTGCTTCTGGAGAACTCCAACTATCACAAGGAAGTAATTACTGACCAAGCCCTAGGGCAGTGGTTCTCAACCTGTGGGTCGAGACCCCTTTGGGAGTATAACGACCCTTTCACAGGGGTCGCCTAGATACATCCTGCATATCAGATATTTACATTATGATTCATAACAGTAGCAAAATTACAGTTATGAAGTAGCAACAAAAATAATTTTATGGTTGGGGGTCACCACAACATGAGGAACTGTATTAAAGGGTCGCGGCATTAGGAAGGTTGAGAACCACTGCCCTAGGGCCAGGGGAACAAAGAAAAGTTGAGCGTATTAAAGGAGCTCCTCTGCAGAGCAGGGACCAAGACTCTTTAAGGAGGGCAAGTGACCAGCTGGCGCTCACGCTTCAGGAACTCGGAGGAGGATCACCCTGCTAACCCCAGCACTGAACTCACAACTCTGAGGGTGTCAGTGGCCAACTGGTGCTGGTGCTTCTAAGGAAGGATGAGGGTGGTTCTAACAAAGCCAACAAAACTGGAATCCCAAACCGAACATGGCAACCAGAGTGAATGGCCCCAGCCAAAATGACACTACGTGTAACTTTTAGCACACAGGAAAGTAAACTCCTTCTCCCCTCATCCTTCATTCCAGGCTACTTCTACTGCCCCCTTTTGGCATAGCTACCTGAAAGAGAGCTGGCAAAAGAGAAATGGGGTGTATAGTGGCACATCCTGGACATTACGTCTTACAATGCAAAGGTGGGAGAAGGTTTACACCTGCTGTCTATCCCTTCATTCAGGATACAGAAAGAGACGCCTTCCATGGAGCATTTGAGATCTTGCTCCCCAGTATGTTGTCAATTTGGCTCAAATACATTCTTTTTAAAACATATGTTTTTATTGATATTACAGAGAGGAAAGGAGAGGGAGAGACGGAGAGAAACATCTATGTGAGAGAGAAACATTGATGGCCTGCTTCCTGCATGCCCCCTACTGGGATCGAGCTGGCAACCCGGGCATGTGCCCTGACCAGGAATCAAAAAGGTGACCTCTCAGTGCACGGGATGACACCCAACCAACTGACCCACACTAGCCAGGGCTCCAATAAATTCTTATAAACATTCTCTTTAAAAAAAATTGCCGAAACCGGTTTGGCTCAGTGAATAGAGCATCGGCCTGCAGACTGAAAGGTCCCAGGTTCGATTCCGGTCAAGGGCATGTACCTGGGTTGCGGGCACATCCCTGGTGGGAGATGTGCAGGAGGCGGCTGATCAATGTTTCTCTCTCATCGATGTTTCTAACTCTCTATCTCTCCCTTCCTCTCTGTAAAAAATCAATAAAATATATTTTAAAATAAAAATAAATAAAAAAATAAGAGACGACTTCCAGAAAAAAAAAAAATGAACTTTTAATATTGCTTGAAACACTGAAGAGGAAGTAAGAACGTGCTAGGAATCCTTCAGTATAATATGATCCAGACATGAGAGATCCTTAAATTTTTTCTTTAAATAGTAAACATGTTTCTCTACTATTAAAAAACTGGAGATTTTTAAAATGAAGCAGAAGCCTTATTTTTCCCCTTTGTCCTCAGGTTCCTCTTCTTCTTTTTTTCCCTCTACCTCTTCTTCATTTTTTGCCTCTACCTCTTCTTCTTCTTTTTTTCCCTCTACCTCTTCTTCTTTTTTTGCCTCTACCTCTTCTTCTTCTTTTTTTCCCTCTACCACTTCTTCCTTTTTTCTTTTCTTTTTCATACAAAGCAGAAGGAAGCAACATAAAAATAAAGGAATAAGCCACAATAAAAAAAGGTAAGACAACTTTGCCTGTGGTCCTTTCGTAGAAGGAGGTGGGCCGCTATCAATACTACCCCCATCGCCTTTTAGCGTGCAGTTGGGAGGTGCCCACCCTTGGCTGCAGTGGCAATGCTGTTTATTATTGCAGACTCCCCTCATGTGGCAGTTCTCATTCTGACAGTCTTGTGATACAAGAGTCATATCGACACACTTCTGGTGGACGCATATCTTTCCTGGACCACACACTGTGCCATCTTTCACTAGACCAATATCAGGTATGGTTATCCCTAAATGATAATCAGTGCCCCAGCAACTGGTGAAATTTAACTGAAGCTGATGTACTGTAGTATGTTCTGTTAGCTTAGGAATAACTGATACGTTTTCACACTGAACTCTCCCACAGAAGATATCTGAGGTATTACATTTTAGGTATGTCGTACTATTTAGACCACAGTGGCCAAAACGGCTTCCCTGGGAGTTGATTTCTTTGTAGCACTCCTGAGATGCACTCCTTGCATCTTCTCCAAAAATCTCCCTGCACTGCTTGTCGTGGCTATTACAACTCTTTTCATAGCAGTAGGCATTGTCACCACAGGGAATCCCATCCTGCACATATCCATCTTCTGGGCACTGGTGGGATGTCCCATTGCACCACTCTGGAAGGTCACATTCACTGATCTGTTGTCTGCACAAAGTCCCTGATGGCATGAGCTTGCAGTCTTTGCAACACAGCCCAAAAGCACAAGCAGAACCAGGGCTCAGAGTGCAGTTCAACAGACAACAGGGATCCTGTTCACACTGCTTTACAGATCCACAGTCACACTCCTCTCCTCCTTCAACAACTAGGTTCCCACAATACTGTAACCTAAAAATATTCCCTGGAGATGGAGGAGTGTAAATACATGAACCGGTACGAATCGTAGTGTCCCAATACTGGGCATAACTGCAGTTGCTGAATTTAATTGTTAGCCGTTTCATGGCTGCCATTACGCACCACTTGAAACCACACACACACCATGCAGTGTCATGCTGCATACCCATATTATGACCAAGCTCATGGATCACAGTAAGTGCAAAAGAGTTCACATTGTGGTCTAGGAAAACATCAACTCCAGTATTAAAAGGCTTCCGGCATACTCCTGAAGTGTAGGCAATACCAAGCTTAATCCCAAAGAATTTTTTTATGAAAAGATGGCCCACATCATGTTGCAGTCGGCCATCAAGATTGACAAACTTCCAGAGACCAAAGTCATCCAGAAGCTGATCCATGTCATCAGTGGGAACTAGGTTTCTTTGATTCCAGACCTCAACTCCGGTCAAAATTACATTAAGCTTGAAAGGGCGGTATAAGAGATTTATCATACTGACAACATTAAGTAGTTCACGCTGCACTGCTGACACATTACTTCCAGAGTAAATGTATCGAAAGTGGTCCACAACTATTGCCAGCTCAAGAAATCGCAAGTGAGTCCACCAGTTCATATAAGAACTTTGCATCAGAGTGGACTTAGGCAACTCTTGCAACTCCAATTGGCGTGCTATTTTCTCTTCTGTCAAGCCACATCTCATAGGTGGGAACTGTGTACCATCACTGTCTATCTTATACACCAGGTGTTCAAATGTGGTAGAGTGCCTGATGGGCTCGATTTCATAAGCAAGGTCATTTATCTGTAGCATTCCTCGAAAACCTCCAGAACAGGTACTGAGGGCAACCAGGGACCCTGGGACCCCCTGCACATAACCATGGTAGTAGCAGTCATCAGGAACAAAAGGCTGATCCTCCTGGAGGACATGCTGGTCCGTGTAGGTGAACACTGGTAGGTGTCTGGAAACCAGGAACTTCTTGACCCTCATGCGGACAATGTGTCTCTGGCCCCCGAACCGCAGGCTGTAGGAGAGCCAGCCCGGAGCCTTAGCATCTTGGTCCCTGCTGGTCACCTTCAAGGGGATCACGACTTCTCTGGAGAAGCCCTGAGAGGGCTTGGCCTGAGAGTGGCCAGAATTGGACAGAGACACCCCAAACCAAAGCAATAGAAGATTGACCTTGATGTGCACCAGGGCCTCATCCACTGCCATTATGGAACCATCAGTCCAGGGCAGAGAAAGGCGGAGGCGTGAGACACTGCTGGTACAGTTCCTCCCTTGAGCTGCTCAGGGTGCAGGGCTGACCTTTACAGATGTGTGTTTTAGAAGAGTTGGACCATCAGAGCTGCAGTGCTGAGAGTTGAAAATAGAGCTAAAATGGGGTGGGGAGGGGAGGGAGAGTGGGAAAGAGAAGGAGAGAGAAGAAAGTGAGGTAAAGTGATTCTTCAATTGGGACAACGCTTGAATCAATAAATTACCTGAGATTGCTCTTATTTATATGTAAGGGGAAGTGTGTGTGTTGGGGGGGGGGGGTTGGGCAAAAGGGTAGGTTTCCAGAAAAACAGATGAGACTTATCATAGGTGGATTGTGGTTGAACCTGGATAGTAGATACGTAAAGATTTATTACATACTATTTTCTAAACATGTAAACTGGCATAAACATTTTTATATTAAAAACACTGACCTCGCCCTAACCGGTTTGGCTCAGTGGATAGAGCATCGGCCTGCGGACTCAAGGGTCCCAGGTTTGATTCCGGTTGAGGGCATGTACCTTAGTTGCGGGCACATCCCCAGTAGGGAGTGTGCAGGAGACAGCTGATCGATGTTTCTCTCTCATCTCTCATCGATTCTAACTCTCTATCCCTCTCTCTTCCTCTCTGTAAAAAATCAATAAAATATATTAAAATAAAAAATTAAAAAAACAAAAAAAACAAAAAAAAAAACACTCCCACATTTTTCCTCTACTCTAAATCAACTATGACCCTGCTATCTTCAACAAGTATGTGGACCCCCCGCCACCCAAAACCCACCATTTTTGGTCCCTTTATTCAAACAATTTGTTCCATCTCCCCTTTTCTTGTGCAGACATCTTATCTATTCCCCATTCGGGTTGAAGTTAGCTATCAAAGTAAGCCCCACTTAAGGGAGTCATTAGTTTTGAGACCCCCTCTAATGAAGACAATTTTTTATTTTATAATGCATGCTTATCTGCAGAAAGGACCAGACAAATGGCCAAGGAGGCAGCCATGCTGATGGAGTGATATGGGGTGGGGCTGCTAGTTGGGGGCAAGGCAAACAGCCCAATTGCCTACAACAGGGGTCCTCAAACTATGGCCTGCGGGCCACATGCAAATACAAATATTGTATTTGTTCCCATTTTGTTTTTTTACTTCAAAATAAGTATGTGCAGTATGCATAGGAATTTGTTCATAGTTTTTTTTTAAACTATAGTCCGGCCCTCCAACGGTCTGAGGGACAGTGAACTGGCCCCCTGTTTAAAAAGTTTGAGGACCCCTGGCCTACAACATAAAGGCAGCAGCCTTCTCTCTACCCAGTCCAGGACATTATGTTCTCAATCACAAGATACTTATCTTGGTTGCATAAATACAGATTCTATTCTATGTTTTTGCATGACTGGTGAGTTAGCTGAATTCTCTAGAGAAAGTTGGACTGAGGAATTTAAACCTAGAATCAGTTTGTTAAAATGTTCAAAAGACCACAATTTGAGTGAACTGACATCACTCCTGTTGCAAATATAAATTTTAGCTCAGGCAAAAACTAATTTTTCTCATTCACTGACTTTCAGTTAAAAGTATCGATAATTTGCCTGGCTGGCGTGGCTCGGTGGTTGAGTGTCGACCTATAAACCAGAAGGTCATGGTTCGATTGCTGGTCAGGGCACATGCATGGGCTGTGAGTTTGATCCAGTAGGGGACATGTAGGAGGCAGCCGATCAATGATTCTCTCTCACATCCATGTTTCTCTCTCCTTAAAATCAATAAAACCATTTTAAAAAAAAAAGAACACCTGCATACATGTGGGTAATTTTTTAGAATGTATAGCTACCAAAAACCAAGAATATTATTTTTTTTTAATATATTTTTAATGATTTCAGAGAGGAAGAGAGAGGGGGAGAGAGATAGAAGCATCAATGATGAGAGTGAATCCTTGATTGGCTGCTTCCTGAATGCCCCTTACTGGGGATCGAGCCCGCAACCTGGGCATGTGCCCTGACTGGAATGGAACCCGGGACCCTTCAGTCCGCAGGCTGACGTTCTATCCACTGAGCCAGCTAGGGCCAAAAACCAAGAATATTAGATGAAACCTCTTTAAGAAAGTATCTCTGACAGAGGTGAAATCCTAATTACCAGATTTCCTCTCCAGGTCTCTCTCCATGATACCCTTGGTATTTGCTACAGATCTGGAGATACTAAGTTGGGTAAGCATTTGTTGGAAGAGGATTATCTTCTATAAAAATAAAAGCATAGCCCTAACCGGTTTGGCTCAGTGGATAGGGCGTCGGCCTGCGGACTGAAGGGTCCCAGGTTTGATTCTGGTCAAGGGCATGTGCCTTGGTTGTGGGCACATCCCCGGTTGAGGGTGTGCAGGAAGCAGCTGATCGATGTTTCTCTCTCATCGATGTTTCTAACGCTCTATCCCTCTTCCTTCCTCTCTGTAAAAAATCAATAAAATATATATTTTTTAAAAAAGAAAGAAAAAGAAAAGCATAATATGACCTTCTGGACAAAACTGGGGCTGCAAGGGAAGCTTGGGTCCCGGGTGCCTGCCGGCGGCCTGAGAGAAGCCCGTGTCCCGGGTGCCAGCGGGAAGCCGGTGCCGGCAGCTGGGGAAGAAAGGCCTACTCTTGCATGAATTTTGTGCATCAGGCCTCTCGTTAACAATAAAATGTTATAAAGAAAGTAACCCATATTAAATTTTATCAGAAACGTGATGTGGTCATAGAAAAGTTTATTGCCAAGAATCTTTGAGACATATCAGGCTTTGTCACTGCTGCATGACTCCAAAGATAAGCTCTGAAGGAACATCACCTTGCCATTAATTATGTGAACAGGTGTCACTCCAAAGCCCTTCCTTTCCAGCATTATCAGCACTTCAAGTAGTGTATCCTCTGTATCGATTATTAATTCTTTCTCCTACAGGATATCCCCAAAGCATGTATACACACTTTAACAGTTGACAGTTCAACTGACATTTCTTTCTTTTCAGCCAGACTACGTTTTGAAAACAGAAAATTCATCCTAAAATGCTACTGGGAGTTTGAAAATGCAGTTGAAGTACAAACACTGCTTGTATAATTATTTTAACAGCTGATAACTCACTTAATTTTCACTCCTTTTCAGGTTGAACTGATTTGGAATAATGGGTGAAGCCAGACTAAGCTTTGAACAAAGAAAATTTATCCACTAGACTTTTTTTTATGGGGATACATAAAAGATAAAGTTTGTGGTACAAAACCTGCAACAGTTGACAAATTGAGGGCACACAAATACCAAATGAAATTATTCTTTTTTTTAAAAAATATGTTTTTATTGACTTTTAGAGTGAGAGGGAGGGAGAGGGATAGAGATAGAAACATCAATGAGAAAGAAACATCATTGAAATGCTGCCTCCTGCACGCCCCCTACTGGGGACTGAGTACCTGACCTGGGAATCAAACTGGTGACTTCTTGGTTCAGGGGTTGACAATCACTCTCTGAGCCACAAAAGCCAGGCGAAACGATTCATGATATTCGCGATTCCATTGCTTCGCGTTATCAGCAGTGCCAGGACCAGAAAGGTCATCAGTTTGAAAACAGGTGTTGACAACAAAAATTATTCATTCATGTAGATGCTTTTACATTTTAAAAATGAACTGTATGTTAATAAACAGTGAGTTTATAATCATTCAAAATGTGTATACATTCTTTGGGACACCCTATATATTTCCAGCAGCTATAACAAACCCCTTCCTTACCATGTCTCCACTCATTCTCAGTCATGGCCTAATTCAGTGTTTCTCAAACTTGGGTCAGAAACCATCCAGGGTCATGAACTCAATTTAGTGAGCCACAGCTAAATGAAACCCAAAAAACAGATATCAGACAGCTTCACAGAGATCATGATCATGTCACCTGCTATTACCTGTCACCATAGAAGCTAGAGCAGCATTCTGCTGTCCCTTCTTATGCTAATTATCAACTATTTTCTAAACTCCAAAACTAAAACTTATACCTTGTTTATGAAGCTGGAGCTGAGGCTCTGCATGGTGCCTTTCTCCATCGCTATTTGGCTTCCTGAAGTTTTACCAAGAAGGGCACTAGAGGGAGAATAAAAGGCAAAAGCAGAGGCGAAGGGACTTGTTACTACCTATTTGCCTGCTGTGACTTTCTGTGAATCCCCAGCAGTGGAGCCTTGCTCTGATGGTGAGGGTTGGTTACCATAAAGACCCAGAACCAGTTCCATCAAGCCCTGTCAAAGGTATCAGTACCGCAGGACAGGGCGCCCTCCTGAGGACTGGATGTATAGAGCTATGCTCCAGTACCCTAGGCAGCCCACACCAGTCAGCCAGGGTCCCTCTCTGATGTTCCAGGCCATGCCCAAAGTGCCTTGATGTAAGCCCCAGGTATATGGCACCTCTCTCCGAGATCTGAGTCCCAGTTATGGTGGAACTTCTTCCAAGTCCCTAAGTAACCAGCACAAACTCAGCATTACCTTATAAGAGGTACAGCTATCGGCTCCACGATGCTCCTTTTCTGAGTTCCTAAATTACCAGCATCACCTGGGAAATGCCCAATCTTCTACAGTCCAGCTCTAGGTCTATGAGGCCCTTATGAGAGTTTCTACCTTATGATAACCCCAACCTCTTCCGTTTGTTCCCCCATTCTTAGGGGTGGGTCTCCTATGGCAACTCATACCTCAGTACACCCCAGTGTTGCTTCCTTTTTATCTATTCAGGTTTTTAGCACCTTTTAAAAATTTTCTTATATTAATTATGCTTGGATTTTTCTCTTTTCTGACTAGATCCTGATAGATATAGAATTTGGTACCAAGAGTGCTGCCAAGACAGACAAAATGGGACTCTGGGATTGGTTTGAGCATATGCATGGCTTTAACACATTGCTGAGCTCCTGTCCAATGGGGAATGGGCATGTAGTAACATCACAAATTACCACCCAATATGGATTGTGATGAAATGTCCTATTGAAGCAAGTGTGTGGGGGACCAAGCTGTGAAGATGACTAAAAGTACCTCAAGGACTGAGGGGCAGGTTGGCCATATTGAATTC